TTTTTATGCTCTATTCATTTTAGTCATAAATAAAATACAAATTATTTAAAGAATGTCTTCATGTTATAAAAGTTATTTAAATTAAATTGAATGAAGTCTGATATATAAGGGAGTGTTAGTGCAATCTTTAAACAGATTTTACAAGTAATTTTTATTTTGTTTTTAAATATGTCAAAATAATAAAGTAGAAAATGTTTAATTAAATTATATAATAATTTAATTAATGCAATACCGTTAGGCCGTCATTGTAATGCCTTATTAATTAATTATTCGTGAAAAATCTGAAAAGGCAAATCAGTTTGTACTTGGCCATTGGATAGGATACTATGACCAAATTAGACACCACCCGTAGGATGTGTTCGGAAGACTTTTAAAGGAATATAAAAATATAAATAAAGTGAAATATAAAAATTTATTTATTAAAATAAAAGTAAATTTATTATAACTTTAAAACTAATATAATTTTTTATTTTTATTTAACAAAATAAATATATAATAAAATTATAATTTAAATTATACATATTTATAAATTATATTTCAATTATTATTTGTAACTATAGTGTGAACCAATTAATTTTGACACCAAATGGTTTCTGCCAATAATATATTAAAAATTCAAAGAAATATTATACACAAATAAATAAAACATAATTCAAAGAAAATGTCTCACTAAAAACATCAATCAAATTTAACTATAAAATTTAATTATCTTTTGCACCCAATATTGGTATAAAAATAAATAAAAAACGTGTAAATTGATTTTAGATTCAGGGAGTGTTGGGACTTTTAATATATGGAAGTGATAAAAGGAACTGAGACAGGAGTTCGGAGTCACAATATATGGATTGACTGGTTTATTAGTACATTTTAAAAATATTAATATATTAAAATTAAAATAATTTTTTTTTCTAAAAAATCACAATGACTGATAATAAATTAGTTTAGTCTGATAAATCCTTAAATCATAAAATACTAATCTGTTTAACCAAGCTTTAGTTCACATTAAAAAAAACTATGAATAAAAATAGTTTTATACTTAAGTCAGTGTAAGAATTTGAATAAAATAATAATAAGAATATGAATGTGTAACAAAAACATATTCCCAAATAATAGAGTAGTTGTATTTGTAGAATGACTATTTTTAATAATTATTTTAAATAATAATTTTTACATGTTTAAGGTTAATTATTGTATCTTTATATTATGTGATTAAGTAATTAGTTAATTATTGTATATTTATATTATGTATGATTAAGTAATTAGGTATAGTTATTTCTCAAATACTTTATGATTATCTTTGACATGCATTTAAGAAGGGATTTTATGAATGACACATTGACAATTAATGTGTTATTGTAATATTTTCCATTTCAAAAGTCACTCAAGAGTAGGTAAAACCTCAAGTTCTCACATTCCTTATGTTATTTGAATTTACTTCTCCAACCTTTTCTTTTAGCTTTTCTTCCTGAAGTCTTTCGGTCTTTTTAAGTATTTGTTTTTTCTAATCCTTAGGTAATTCTAGCGATTTTGTTTTAGAGCAGACGAGTGTTCCATCTATTGGTTATGAATAACATGAGAAGGAAGTAAGAGTGTCAAAATAGGTTTAATACGATGAACTAACTCAAAATAATAATTATTTTAAAAATAAAATAAAAGTAGTGTTATTTTAATAAAAAATGTATATATAATAAATTAATTTGATAATATATTTTATATATATATATATAATATATTTGTGTAATTTAGAAAGAATAATAAACTCAAACATAAATATTATTTATTTTGGTCATGTTCTTATTATTTTCACATTTGTTTTAGTCATCTTCCTTTTTTGTTGTTGCTACATCATGTAGAAGTTATGTTGAATAAAACTAGTTTGTTGAAGTAATAGAGATTTTACTCTAAAGTTTACATATATGTATTTGCTAGATATATTATTAAACGTGATTTTCCATGTATCTATGTTGAGTATAAAGAAGTTTTAAAGGTAAATAAAATTTTGAATTCTAATTTTAAAACCAATTACTATAACCTTACTATAACCACTTCATAATTTTATAACGTGTATTAATATAAAAGAAAAAAAATTAAAAGATTCATCAAGTAGGTTTTGACAACAATTATTTAAAGCTCAAGACATCACTTTAGCTATGAGTTCTTCATATCATCTGCAATCTAATGGTCAGACTAAGAATGTTAACAAGACTTTGGAGATATATTTGTAATATTTTGTATTTGAGCATCCTAATACTTGTGTTACTATGCTTTCTTGGATTCAACTCTAGTATAACACTTCATACCACAAAAGCTTGGACACCTTTTCATTATGAGCATGATCCTAAGGGTCCTGATCCACTTAAAGATTTATTACAACAACATGATCAATTTTTATTGAAGTTTAAGAGTAATTTATTGAAAACTCAATAGTACATTAAGATGAAAATTAACAAAAAAAACGAAGAGAATTGCAATTTAAGACTAGTGGTTTGTTTCGAAGAAACTTTAAAATTGATTTAAAAATATCTTTAAAATATAATCAAAACTGATTTAATTAAAAAATTTAATTGATGCTTTTTAATTTTTTTAATTTTATATAATTTTTTATATCAGTTTAATTAAAATTCATCTTTAAGAAACCCAGTTTTTAAATTAATTCTCAATTAAATTAATTCAACTTTATCTAATTTTTAAAATAATAATAATAATAATAATAAAATACCAACTGGATCAATTCTTAAAACATAAAAAAAAGTGTCCAAACACGATACAAATAGAGTATGTACAAATACTATACATCATAACCATTAACGTAGTTTCAAGGAGAAAAAATCATGCAGTAACAATTTGTTTGATTTATTTTATTTATTAGTTTTTAATGATAGTTGTTAGTAAATAATTTAAAAAATCTGTTTTTGAGAATAAATTAGAAAAATAAATATTATTTGAGAACTATAATACAAGAACAGTTTTAGAAAGGAAACAAATGAAAAAACTTGTTTGATATGTTTTAAAAAAATACTAATTTTATTAATTTTTTATTAGTTATTTTAAAAAGTACATTTAATTGTAGTTTTTAAGCATGAATAATATATTTTTTTTATTTCTTTATAAAGGATTATAAAAAAAATAAAAGTCAAGTTAAAGTTTTAAATAATTATTTTCTGTATTAAAAATTTACCTATTTATAATAAAAATATCACTTACACCAAATCATTTCTAAATTAAAAATTACAAAATGATTTATAATGACAAAGAAATTTAACATAACAAAAATAGGATGAGAATATTATGAAAAATATTAAATATTTATGTTTGAATGTAAAGAGTTTCAAGTTTTTAAATATTTATCATTTTATTGTAAGTGATAATAAAATAAAACTATTTTTTTATGGGAAGAAAAACTAAAAAAACAAATTACTTTTTAATAGTTTTTATTTTTTAATTTTAAGAATTTATAATTACAATACTTTTAAAAATTGTATTAATAAAATAATGATCAAACAAGTTTTCTATTTAAAAAAAAATACTAAAAATTATATGTGTAATTTGTAAACAAATAAGTCCTAAAAGTCTTTTAACTAAACTTACAAAATTAATATTGCTAAAATATTATAAAAGAATTATACAGTAAAAAAGTTATTAAAACAAATTAGGAAAATAGTTATAAAAGAGTAAGAATTAAAAATTTTAAAATTTATTATTATAACATAAATATAAATTATATTTTATATTTATAATAAATAATTCACATCGGTTCAGCATCTTAACTGATTTTATTATATTTTTACGAGTAAACTTAGTTTTCTGAACCATAATTTTTTTTATAACGTTACCAATAATCAAAGAGGGTGTTTATACTCTAAAATCATGACTATTGTGAATACAATCTTATAAATTATTATTTCTAAAAGTAAAGAAAGGATATCTGGTTAATAAAGATATTGTTAAAAATATTTATATGATTTTATTAGAATTAAATAGTAATATTTAATTATTATTTAAAAATATTGAATTTGTTACTGCATTAAATAATTAAATAAAAATAATATAATTTTTTTGCTTGTCTTTTTATTTTAACTTGGAAAATTTTGATATGAGAATATTTTTATAAGAAACTTTCATAAACATTGGTCTCATAAAATATGATTTTCTGAAAAGGGTTATCTTCTAAAAGGCAAATCAAACATCAGAAGCATAATTTTTCAATTTCATATTATTAAAAAGCTAAAAAAATTTCCTTCTGTCAAATATCCTCTAAAAATATAATCTTATATCATAATGTAAATTATGTATTATAAACTAAAATATAATTTACATTTTAAACCTATTTAATATAGTTTTTTAACATTTACAAGTATTTATTCATTATAATTTTAGCCAAATCGAAATAATAAATATTTGTACATAAATTAAAATATTAACTATAAATATTATTTTTCCTTATAAAAAAATGGCAGTTTAAAATACAAAAAGTAATTAAGCTAATAATAGATTTTAGGTTAGGTGAAAGCAATCATCCACCTAATTGGGCGCGGGGCATGACAAATGTTAAACAGAGAAAGGGATTACCTCCGTAAATAAAAGAAAAAAGGAAGGACATATAAGAAACTACACATTGCACTAGCTAATACTAGAGATAATAATAGTGAAACTGATGCACAAAATATTGATGATGAGATAACATCATTATGAATGATGATCAATAACATGGTGCATGTGCATAAGAAGAGAGAGAGGGACAGTATTTGACTTCATTTTTTTGGGAGGAGGAGGAGAGAGAAAGAAAGGGAATAGAACGGAAAGGAAAGGACCAAAGAATGAAGAAAATTCAATCGGATCGAATACAATCTTGACGTCCGCAATGACCCTTTCTCTCTCTCTCTACACTTTCTATCTCTAGAACACACGCCATGAAGCAGCAGCAGCAACAGTGGGATTCACTGAGATTAAAGAAGATGCTGCTGCTTCTGCACTGAGAAAACCCTAGACACTTATACTGGATGCGAACTGGGATACCCCAAGTGCAAAGTTCCACGCTTTTTGTTCCTTCTCACTTAGTTGATCACTTCCCGGATTCTGTCACAGTTCAATTTCGCAATTTTCAACTCTTGGTGAGTCATGACAACTGTTAACGTTACCCTTTCGACGTTTGACCCCTTTGCTTATCTTTCTGTCCTTGTTTTTCTCCATTCTGTGTCCCATTTGTCTCATTTATAGCTCTGGATCGTTGATTCGCTTAAGCTACGCTTCGATCGGCTGCTATTTTTGTCACTACTTTGATGGACTTTGTGCTTTACATTTATTTTCCTTTTTCAATTGAGCTTGGACTTTTAAAAAATGGTAATTCTTGGGGTATTTTTTATTTTGGTGTGAGATGCGTGTCTTAGTTTGATTGAAGTTTTTTTTTTTTTTTTCCTTTTTTTAATTTTAAAGTTTTTTTTTTTATTTTTTTTTTTGTGTGTGTTTAGTGTGATAGTATTGTTTGTTGAAATTCTGTGGTTTTGTTTTTTGTTATTGGTTTTTCTTGGGTATTATTGTGTGCACTGGTGGATGGGTTGGATCTGAGAAGTCATGTGTTGTACAGAGATTCATGCGAGAGCTGTTTGGAGGTTGCTCCTTTAAGGGAGGTAGCGCAATTATAATGTTCAGAATCAAAGAATGTTTCTTGGTTTTGGTTTTCTTTGGTGTATGGCTTGTGTTTGATAAAACTCAACACCACGCACTTCTGTTGGATCACAATGAAGACTTTTGCCTTGAACTCGGGGTTGAAGTAGTACTTTCTGGGTTGAGAGTTGTGAACCCTGCCCAGTTTCTCACAAGCTGTTGTGTAATTGTACTTTGTTGAACTTCTGTTTTAAGTAACTTAGTTGTTATGCATAGGTGATTGCTTGAAGGCCGTGATATCGAAAGATGGTGCCTCCGGGGCCACCCACTCCCATTGGTGGTGCCCAGTCTGTTTCACCCTCTCTTTTAAGATCAAATTCTGGAATGCTAGGAGCTCAAGGGGGTCCCATGCCGTCGCAGACATCTTTCCCTTCGCTTGTATCTCCCCGTACTCAGTTCAACAACATGAACATTCTAGGAAATATGTCCAATGTGACTTCCATACTGAATCAATCTTTCCCAAATGGAGTTCCGAATCCCGGGCTATCTGGTCCAGGAAGTAGCCAACGTGGAGCAATTGATTCTGGAGCTGAAACAGATCCACTCTCCACAGTTGGTAATGGAATGAGCTTCAATAATTCTTCTTCCACGTTTGTACAGCCAAATATAGTTAATGCTGCTTCCTCTGGTCAAGGTCAGGGTCAACAATTTTCAAACTCTTCTAGTAACCATATGTTGCCAGATCAACAACATTCTCAACAGCTTGAACCTCAAAATTTCCAACACAGTCAGCAGTCAATACAACAGTTCTCTGCTCCCCTAAATGCACAGCAACTGCCACCACAACAGCATTTTCAATCAATTCGAGGAGGTATAAGTGGTATGGGACCAGTAAAGCTAGAACCCCAGGTAAGCAACGATCAACTTGGACAGCAGCAGCAGCCACCGTTGCAATCATTAAGGAATCTTACTTCAGTGAAATTAGAGCCACAACAAATGCAGACAATGAGAACACTGGGACCTGTTAAAATGGAGCCTCATTCTGATCAACCATTATTTTTGCAGCAACAACAGCAACAACAACAACAATTCCTCCACATGTCAAGTCAATCATCGCAGGCTGCTGCTGCCCAGATCAATCTTTTGCGCCATCACAGGCTTTTACAGTTACAACAACAACACCAGCAGCAACAAATCTTGAAGGCAATGCCTCAACAACGGTCCCCACTACCACAGCAATTTCAACAGAACTTGCCAATGAGATCTCCTGTGAAACCAGCCTATGAACCTGGAATGTGTGCTAGGCGGCTGACACATTACATGTATCAGCAACAGCATAGACCTGAAGTAAGCCAACTAGGTTCCTATGTATTGACCTTATTCTATTTGTGCATATCATACCTCTTAGTAAGAGATATTTGATATTTGCAATTTGATTTAATGCAGGATAACAATATTGAGTTCTGGAGAAAGTTTGTTGCCGAGTATTTTGCTCCTAATGCCAAGAAGAAATGGTGCGTTTCTATGTATGGAAGTGGAAGACAAACAACTGGAGTTTTCCCTCAGGTATGTTCCCAGAGAAAACCTTATAAAACTTAAACAAACTAATTCTGAATCCTGTATAACCCTATATAAGTTCATGAATTAATCATCTAATTGCATGATTGATTGTACAGTTGTACTAAGTGATTGGCATTGTGATTCTGTTGCCTGAAATTATGGTATTAAAGGAACCAGATATAATAGTTTCATTGTTTCTAAACATTAGTTTAGCATTACAGAAGAATTTTTTAAATATTTTCAGGATGTATGGCACTGCGAAATATGTAATCGCAAGCCTGGACGTGGTTTTGGTAAGTTTTGTTTTTGTTTTTTTTCTTTTTCTGTATTTCCTTGTTCAGTGTATTTTTGGTTCTTCACTGTTTGAATGTTGGTATCTTGAAATAAATGTCAAGTATATGCAAATGAGTGTATTGTGCTGATTGTCATTCTGAATGGTAATTTTTTTTTCCAGAAGCAACTGTCGAGGTTCTTCCCCGGCTTTTCAAGATAAAGTATGAAAGTGGTACCTTGGAAGAACTACTTTATGTTGACATGCCTCGTGAATATCATAATTCGTCTGGTCAGATTGTTCTAGACTATGCAAAAGCAATACAAGAAAGTGTTTTTGAGCAACTACGCGTTGTTCGGGATGGTCAACTTCGAATAGTTTTCTCTCCAGACCTGAAGGTTATATATAGGAATATTAACATTAAAATATTAAAAATGGTTATATGCTATTATCATTATTGACTTTCTTTATTTGAAAGAAAGAGTAATTGGCATTCTCATGTTTGTTATTTTATTTGCAGATATGTTCTTGGGAATTTTGTGCTAGGCGCCATGAGGAGCTAATACCCAGGAGATTGTTAATACCACAGGTTGCCAGTAATTGCATTATGAGTGGAATTTGTAATTATAACTATTAGATAATCTGTTTATTTAAATAGATGAACATAATTTGCTGATTGAATACTGATGAATGACCATTTACTCTTTGTTAATTGTTGTTAGCCTTGATAATTTTTTCCCACCACTGAAGCTGTGCAGTAAATTTTGGGATTGAAATTTTGTTTGATCTTTGGTGGGATCTATGTATTCCTGGTCTCGTTGCTAGAATTATGATTATTATTTTGTTAGGGATGCCTTTTGTAATCCTAGTTTTGTACTGTAGAGCATAGTGCTAGCCCATGCATTTAGATATTATACATTTTCTTATCATTATCATTGTATACAGGTTAGCCAGCTTGGAGCAGTTGCTCAAAAATACCAGGCTTTTACTCAAAATGCAACACCCAATATATCTGTTCCAGAATTACAGAACAATTGCAATATGTAAGTCCGTTTTATTTTACTATTATCCCTTATGTTAATTTTTGTGTCTCCTATTACTTTTTATTTAAAACATGATAATTTTCTTTGTTAATTATCTTGTACCTTTCTTATTGCTTGACCATGGAATGGGACATGACATACTTCCTTTACCCTTTTGAATAGGGATTCGTATGAATGTTTTACCCTGCTTATCTCCTTTAGCACAACTCTAATTGGAGTTGCTTCTACTGTTCTTACAAATAAGAACCGGTTCTTTCTAGATAGCATCTTTCAAGATAGCACCACCATTGAAGCTCAATGAGTTGGACTGCTCATGAAAGAACAAGTTCTTACATAAGAAGTGTGTTCTTGTCATATAAAAACATGATTTTTAGTTTCAGATTCAACTAACTATCATTTACCTTCCCCAATGGAGCCTCATCGATACCTCCTCCTCTGTTAGCTTCTTCTGTGTCTGGGAGGCAGTGTTGTCAGGAATCAGGATTGTGAGTAAAATTGTGAATTTGCTCGATTTTGCAATCTTGCTTCCATTTAACAAGCTGGATTTTGAGTAAAATCATGAAGTGGGAGGATTTAAGTTCATAGTAGGACCGGATTGAATTTGTGCAATTAGATGTTCTTCTGGTCTTGCCGGATATGTTTCTCGGATCAGTTGTGCAACCTTGTTTGCCCGAAGTTTATATTAGTATTTTTTATTGTTGCCATAAATTGATAGTTTCTGCTTCTCTCCTAATTTCAGACCTAGACAAATAGTATCCATCTTTTTTCTCTACCCTTCATTGATTCTCTCTCTTGGCCTGCTGCCTGTGTCTATGATCTGCATTCAGTCTCAGGCTCTTATTCTTGGTTCTCTCGCTGACCTGCTGTGACTGTGACAAAGTGCCCTGATTTTTTGTTGATGAGAAATTGCTGTATTTTTCGATTTGTATTCTATGTTTTGTTCTCACCAAACGATGGCATCTTGACTCTAAACTCTTCTTTTCATCGAACTACTTCACACTGTCTCCTTTCCCTTTTTTATTTTCCCTAAAAACTCATCGGTTATTATGTTCCTATATTTGATATATTATCTTATATTCTTTGGTTTTGATGTTATATTTGTTTTTCTTACTTAATTATACAGAATAGACTTAGATATTTATAAAACTATACAATACTTGTAATAAAATAGATATTTAAACTTTTAACTGAATTTCAGTGATTTAATTATATGTATTACTTAATTATATTAACACTATGATTCTTTTGTATCGAATACATTTTTATATTTTTGGTAGGATCATGTGTCCTACATTTTACAATCTTGTAACCCTCCTCCTGATCTTGCAAAATTGCTGTCAGCAGCTTCTCTGCTGCCTTCACTGTCTCAGATCTTAATTCATCCTTTTCCGCAACCTCCACAATGGATTGAGCAATGTGTGTTTGGTGTTTATTCCTGGATTTAAGCATGTGACTAGACTCTGTTTTTGTAACATTTGCTTTTATCTGGTGATTGTAATTATTAACGTAGGCGTAGCCAGGTAGTTTTTTTACTGTTCGAGTAACCAGTTCTACTTTTAATGTTTGCTGTGTAAAGCTGAAACCTTTTGTTCTGTTTGTATTTTAGCTCTTCTCTTGAAAATTGAGTCATAAAATTTCCTTAATTTTATATATTTTTTTGACAACAAAATTAGTGTTAAGTGTGAACAAATTTTTGAAAAATATATTTATTTATTGTCTCAATTACAATATAAATGGAATTTTTAATAAGTTAGGTCAATCTATTTCAAATATATAGATTTGTATATTTTGATTTTATTTCATCCTCAATAAAAATCTTTTTCCTTAAGGAATATTGGTCTTTCCATGTGAATCTCATTGTCAGAACACTCCGGGATGTGTTGCATGCTATACACTTCCATTTCCAATTCTCGTATATTCTATTTTCCCCTGGTTGTCTACTGTCTACAATCTAGATTGCACTAGTCCTTTTACTTTATCCCTTTTTGGTCTAACATAATAGATTTTGCTTTTTATTAAAGTTTCAGTTTTTCTTTTAATATTTTTATACGGATCTTCTCCAGGTTTGTTGCATCAGCCCGTCAGTTGGCTAAAGCCTTAGAAGTTCCATTGGTTAACGATTTAGGATACACAAAGAGATATGTCCGCTGCCTACAGGTAGTATTCCATTCTTAAGATATTGCTTACCCCATATATTTTTAGTGTTTATTTTTAATATACGTTTTCATTTTGGGGAATTATGTATTTATTTCATTTTAATGTTTCAAACTGCACTCAGTTTCTTTTTCCGGAACTACTATGTGTCTTTTATGCTGCCATCTTATCCCTGACTGTTGAATTCGTGAACAGAGCACCCCACTTGCCTTCATTGTTTTAATAGGGAAACCTATCTTAGTCTTGTTTTTCTCAATGTGTCTGCAAATATAACAATTATGCTGGTTACTTTTCAAGTTTGTAATAAGATCTCCTAAGAGAGGAGTTGGGGTCCAGTAATCACTGGCTCATGTTTGATGTTACCTTTTTTCTGGTAAATAAATACACTTCTGGAAGAGTGACTACTATCAAGGGCTAAATTCAGTATTTACGAGAATAAATGATACATTTATCAGAAATTTGTTTCATTTGGAGAATATATTCAATGAACTCTATTCATTCACCAGTGAATACAATAAACTTAATCTATTGTTTCTTGTTTATTCTGCAGATATCAGAAGTTGTAAATAGTATGAAAGACTTGATAGATTACAGCAGAGAAACTGCAACTGGACCTATGGGTAAGTCAATAATTTACTTGTTTACTCCTCATTTGTAAGTCTGAATATGAATGTGTGTGTAAATAATTCTTTATTTTAAAGAGGACATTGTTGCTTATAGTGTTCTAATTTAATTTTTCTATTCCTATTTCCTGATTAAAAATCATCATTGTGTAGAAATTAAAAGTCTTGTGATGCATTGAGTTCCTACTTGACCTTTATACATTACAGTTTAAAAGTGTTTTTGGGTATCATTTTTTGTCTCAACATTATCCTACTTGGTTGATATATGGGGAGCTTGCATCCAACCTTTCTAAGCTATGGCTGATAGTGGAATTAATTCCACATGAAATTTCCTTTCGACAAAAGAACGTTGTTAAACATACAGAGATAGCATATGGATTTGTTCATAATCTGATTAAGAGTTGGTCCTGAAGATGTAGTTGGTATGATAATAATGATAAATTCATGTTGAAGTGAATCAAGAGTTGACAATTGGAGTTCATCCCCTAAAGGTTTATTTCTTAATAATTATTTCCAGCTGTTTGATTATGATCATAGGTAATGAAATTTCTTTTCTTTTCTTTCTATTGTTTCCCATCTCTCAGATAGCTTGGCAAAATTCCCTCGGAGAACAAATGGTTCATCTGGACCTCGTGGTCAAGCACAACAGCATGAACAACAATTACAGCAACAGCAACAAATGGTGGCCCATAACTCAAATGGCGATCAAAACTCAGTACAAGCTGCTGCCATGCAAATTGCTTCTAGCAATGGTATGGTCAGTGTAAATAACAACGTCAACTCAGCATCCACATCAACCACCACAAGTACTATTGTTGGACTTCTCCACCAGAACTCAATGAATTCTAGACAACAAAGTTCAATGAACAATGCAAGCAGTCCATACGGAGGTAGTTCTGTTCAGATTCCGTCCCCAGGTTCCTCCAATACGGTGCCCCAGGCCCAGCCAAACTCTTCCCCTTTTCAATCTCCAACCCCATCTTCTAACAACCCTCCACAAACGTCTCACCCTACTTTAACATCTGCCAATCACATGAGTACAACTAACTCACCAGCTAATATTTCCATGCAACAGCAGCAGCCATCTATTTCTGGTGATCCTGACCCTAGTGATACTCAAAGCTCAGTCCAGAAAATCATACATGAAATGATGATGTCCTCACATATTAACGGCACAGGTGGAATGGTCGGTGTTGGTTCTCTTGGAAATGATGTGAAAAATTTAAATGGTATTCTGCCAGTGAGTGCCAATACAGGGCTTAATGGTGGAAATGGCTTGATGGGTAACGGCTCAATGAACAATAATTCAGGCGTTGGGATTGGTAATTATGGCACAATGGGTCTTGTTCAATCCGGTATGCCTAATGGAATGAGAGCTGCTATGGTAAATAATTCAATCTTGAATGGAAGGGGAGGAATGGCATCTCTTGCTCGGGATCAAGCAATGCATCATCAGCCGGAATTGTCAAACCAACTACTTAGTGGGCTAGGGGCAGTAAATGGTTTTAATAATCTTCAATTTGATTGGAAACCTTCTCCTTGATAGCCTTTGTAGATGGTATGGATGTTGTGGTTCTTGAAAGCTGCTCATACAACATGAGCAACGGTATTGCCATCGGCCCCTGATGATGGCAGAGAGTATTTGGGTTGGGTAGTGATAGGGCGTAGGCCACTGTGCCAATATATGATTTTATATATAAGAAATGAAAATTTGTTGGCTGGTTGTGTGGCTGATGGGGCTGATTTTTCATGTGAATTCAATTGTAACGTTTTTTTATTAATTTTTCTTACGAGCTTTCACAAACTCATCCTTGATATACGCACACGCTTGTGGAAGGTGACAAGTTATGGGATCAAAAAGCAACTGGTTGTTGGGGGAATCGTTAATTATTGTCCCAAGCAATGATGAATTTGAAGTTCCTATGCAGGGGAAAGTAATCAGCATTCAAACATTGAATGAAGTCTGTTTATCCAATGTAACCTTTACAAAAGGAAATAAAGGTACAAGTATTACTTCAAAGTGTCATACAAAGATGGTTCTTAAATTTATAAACAGACACTGTCTATTGCCTTATAGGGCATGGAAAAGAATGAAAGAGAATGAAGTTTGCAATGGCACTGTTGTTACTTCTTCCTTTCCAGTCCTTTCATTTTTCAGCATTGTAATGCATGCCATTATTTATCACTCCCAGCTTATAAATCAACATATTTTTCAACTGTCGCGGACAGAGTTGACTTGGGAACTGCACCAATTATGCTTTCCTTTTTCTCTCCATTCTTGAAGAACAGAACTGTTGGTATGCTTCTGATGCCGTACTGTGTTGCAATGTTTGGAGAGTCATCTGTGTTAAGCTTGAAGCATGCAATTTTTCCACCATATTCCTTTGCTAACTCATCGATAACAGGTGCTATCATCCTGCATGGACCACACCATGGTGCCCAAAACTCTACAAGAACAGGGGTCTCACTGGCAATTACAAGGCTGTTCCAGCTTGAGTCAGTCACCACTTTAACTGCCAAGTTTGAGCACATGTATTATTTCATTAGACAAAACAACACGGAAAGGGAGTCACTTAATTAAAGCTTGAGAGCTGCCCTTAATGTTTTCTTACACATCAATTTCAAGATGAAATTGGGAAATCAATCTGCTACTTCGTTCTCCAAAAATGTCAGCTAGAAATCATGCATTATACAATAAAATTGCCAAATCTATATGAAAATTTAACTTGTTTTGAAGCTCTTCGTAAAGCACCAGTGTAAGCAGCCCAACCATTAAACACAGAAGTATTAACTTTTTTTCCAATTAAAATTTGTTAAAAGTTAGAAAATATAGAATAATAAGTGAGACTCATTTAATGATAAACGTGAGCTACAAAATTCCATGATTTTTAATAATTTGTAATCTATAGTAAATTATATTCAAAAGAACATGTTAAAAGTTGTGTTGTTTGTATTTGTGTAAAGAATAATTCTAATTCCTGTAATACCCTGATTATAATATATTGAATGCGTTTTATATGTTCAAAACAATGAATACATTTCATTCTTCATTGAATACTTTTTTTATTGGGTTACTAGCAGAGTTTGCACTTTGTAGGTGGATATAGCACAGCTCTTCTATTGGCTAAACATCGGAAACTAGACCATCCAATTAAAACCTGTTGAAATTCTAAATACGAATTAAACTGGAAAAGCATGCCACAAGATGGTTTATTCAGTACAATTTAAGAAAAAGAAAGGTTCCAAGCATGCATCTGGGATCATCAATTACCTTCATTTACTGCTTCACGAGCATTGCAAACGAAACGGGATTTTCTGCAGATAGGGTAGAGAGATTGGTGCGAGAGTTTTGAGTTTGGCATGAATTTCTTTAAACCTCTATGAGTTGGGAAAACAAGCTTTTCCCTTGAGGTTGGAAAGCATGGAGAAAAGCATTGGGGTGTGGCTGTGCCTACTGTGGTTACACCTAAGCACTTCTCCAGAGCCATGCTAGCTACCTACCTGCTTCTCTGTTATCTTTCTAAGGAATACACTCCTGGACTTGTGGATAAGCTTTTCAATTTATTTGGTTTGATCATGTACCATCTATCTCCGTACGTGGATATTATTACAAGATTGTGAGGTTCTAAGAAGGCTCAATTTATGTGGATGTCATTTTTGGTTTCAATAATCTTTTTTATCCCACTGAAACCTACAATTTCTTCAAAATGATTACAACCAGAAACGGAGGAGTGCATCAGCATCAGACTACCCAAAAAGGATATTATTTAAAGCTTTTAGCTTGTTAAATCCCAACTTCAAATCATTTTTAAGGATTTAACTTTTTTACATTTCTAGCGTTAAGTGGAAGATAACAAATATTTTTTATTTTTTTAACAAAACTATGGGAATGCCCTATTTACTCGAACAAATGCAAATAAAACTGAAAACTAATGACATGTTTTTAGGACAATTGTTTGAGGAAATTAGTTGTCTAGAATTTTTGTGATATCACCTCCACAAGATCATGTGGTTGTCAAAAGAAGTGCAGAAATACAAAATGAACCAATCCACTCATGGTTCCCTCACACTTTGATATTATTAATGAACAGTAAGAATTCATATAAAGTCATATGCTATTGCTTACTAGACTTTCTTCAAACCTCGGGTCTCTAATGGTGGTTTGGGGATAAAGAAAATTGTAATTGAAGAACACATTTTTGTCCATCACTAAGATTCCATGTTATTATTAGTGGTTATCATAAAAAAATAGCATGTAATGGGTGTTAAATAATTTTATTAAATATCGTTCGTTATTAATATTTTGTGAATAAGAAATGTTATTATTGATTACGTATTGATGACTTAATAATGATAAACTATATAATTATTTAATTTTCCAAAAGTTAAAGCATAAAATTATGAAAATGAATCTATTAATAATTAAAGACAACCCAATAAAATATATTTTAAGATTATATTTATTATTTTATATTTTAAAATTCTCCGTTTTAATTATGATAAGAATGTATCTTTTGATATGTTTTTAGTCTTTTAGTTTTTTTAATGATAAAAAACAGTTACACAATTGGAGACATAATGATGAAAATGTTAAAAAAGAAACTCTAAAAATGTTGTTTTTAGGTATAGAGAATAAAAAGCAATAACATTATATAGAGAATAAATGATTACATAAATCTACTTTTGGGCTTGCATTTCTGTCCTTATGGAAAAGGAAAAGATCTGATCTTGAAGGTGTTGTGAGCATGACAGGATAAGCTGGAATCTCAGAATTGTTGTCTTGATGGATACAAAAAGCAAATATCTGATATGTAAATGTCCTTCTGATTCAATTCTTCATATGATTGTGACCAGACCAATGAACAAGGCAACATATGCTGATGGTCCACTTAACATGTGAATAATAACCTCTTAACATATAAAATAACTTACAAAGAATTTGCTTCTTCAATCTGAAGAAAGAAAGGCTCTCTCCCCATTCCTGCTTATGACAAACTCTCTTCCTGGACAGACAAATTGGTGGTTGAAGGACATTAACTCTTCAATGAGTGAACTTGTTTTTCAACAATGTCCAAGGCTTTTGCATAGGTTGTTGTCACAGCGGGCCAAGATGATAACTTCACAAATCACCGTTTTGTTCATTTATTTATACAAATCACCAGGATGATAACTTTCATGGTGATGCTGCAAAATAATTAACCAAAGCAGATTACTATTTTCTGACGTGTGGCATCACATTACCATGCCATGTTGCCACTTCATCTGCAAAGTGTCAACCATGCAACATACGTGTTAAGCATCTTCCATTATATGCTTTCATATATATATATATATATATATATATATATATATAAGATGAAAAAAGTACTAACACATTCTTTCGTTATTCATTCTGAGATCAATTCAATTTAACCCATTTAAGCAAGAGCATGATTTAACATTTAGAGGATCACACGTCATGTCTAGATGCATATTATATCATCATTAATAAGTAATAGAAACCATGTTAAAGCTTTTAAAAAAAAAAATCAAATGTTGTTATATTTATACGGACTAAAAAGAAATTAAAGCTTATTATTAATTAAATTGGGTTATATCACATAAATAATTGATGAAGTTTAACTTAAATAGAATCTTCAAACAAGTATAACTAATTTAATAATTTGGATCTTGCATATTAAGGTTTATAATTTACGTTTTTACATTATCCTGATTCTTTTTTTTTTTTAATTTTAAAAAATATATCAGTACAATTTTTAATTTATTATTAAAGTATTATATATTTAATTTTATATTTTCAAATAAAGAGGAGATATGTCCCAAGCGAGAAATATTGCGTGGTTGGGCTCAGCAAATTCAGATGGAGTGACTCAATTACATGTTGCTGTGGACAAGGCCCATCATTTCTAGAGGATGTTCATGAAAATTGAGCAGAGTAAAGTGTAAAATACTGCCATGAAACTAACAAAATTCAAGCAAATTGTACGTATGTCAAACATTTATGGAAATTTAAGTGAAGTTATCCCATAAATATATAAACATACTCCAAAAATTGAGCCAAGTAGGAGACTTTTCATCACAAGTATGGATTGTGATATATTTAACGAAACATTTAAGTAATTTGATCCTTCTTTTCCTGTGACAACCAATTTTCAAGGGAAGAACTTCAAAAAAGACTTAAATGTCTAAAATTTTGTTATCATCACCAAAATGTTGAATTCATGCTTCAAGTTGTTAGTTCTGTCAAAGTCTCATTTGAAATGGTAGAGATTGTTTAATAGAATAGTGAAGTAGCTTGATTGTTGATCATTTATTAAATTAAACATGAGCATCATATCATTACTCCATCCACTTTATATAACATGAAAATTCGTAATTAGCTTAAGATTGTAAGTTAGTAGTATACATGGGGAGAAGCAAGCAAACACTAGAAATATCAGAAGTATTGCAGAGACTAAACAAGCAAGCAAACACTACAATAACTACTATCACTGTGTCAACTAACATAACTGATTATCTTGGTAACTTCCATGCTGAAGCAACGATCAAATTTTTGTCCTCCCAACCAAAATGAAGTGCACCCATTTCCTCCTTTATTTTGTACCTGTCACAATACATTACCTTTATGATTTTTCGGATTTCATCAGTCACATTTGTGCTCATTGGAGATGAAGTGAAGCCAGCCATTGTCATCCTGGCTCTCCATTTTCCTGCGACTTCATACCGTTCTATCCTATCCTCACCCTCACAAGCAACAACATTGACAATGTCCCTTGCTAAGCATTGCCTTTCAACATTCATCCTGTCCTGGCTTTCTCTAGGAAGGGTAACATCAAGTGACTCAAACACAGCAGAGTAGTAATTGTAGGCTTCCACAAATCTAGGCAAGAAGGGGGTGGTGTTTGTGTTCACATCTTGCTCCACGACTGTCACAAGCTTTGGATTCAAGCTCTTCACCAACCGAAGAAGTTGGTCCCGTTCGTTCACTGTTGAAACACTCTCATCAGGCATGTGATGAAGCTGGAATGCAAAGTTCACCACAAGTGCTTCCCCAGGACTACAGTTGAGCATTGATGGGGTGACAATGGAAGTCCTTGATGCCACTGCTCGGAACTCAAATGGCAAACCTAGTGCCTCTGCCAGTTTTTCTAGTCTTTGTCCTATGTTCTTTAGGCCTCCAATAGGTCGCTGCACAGACTCAGGATCATCAACCCCAGTCAATCTAACATGGGGTGGCTTACTTGACCTTGAAGCAAGTGTTTGGATTAGATTAATATACTGACTTCCTTGATTGATGTCAAAGTCTATGATATGAATTTTCATGTCATCTTTCACTGCTTCTGTAATTGCATTGTTAGCGGCAATAAATCCAAATTTGAAACATGGGCAAACCTCAAACAGTATCTGCATGGCTGCTAGACGGTCTGAAGATGGAGGTTCCTTGCATCTCAGAGCTTTGTAAATACTTTTGCCGGATTCAGCCAAGCGAGCAGCAAGTCCCTCAACCATATAGGCTGCAATTCTTTGAGAAGGCTCTCCTTGAATTGAGACCATCTGCCTGAGATTGTTTATCATGGATGATCCTTCCTCTTCGTTTCCTTCTGAAAGTGCAATAGCACATTCGTAAAGGAGCTGCTTGGGGGTCTGAGAAATCTGTGATATTTCTTTGGTGCTGCAAATGCTGGAATCTGAAGAAGAGTACTCCTTTGGTGAATCATGGAGGAGCATATTCTGCATGGAATCAGACCACTCAGCAATGTCTGGATCAATTTCCATGCTTTGAACAGCCTCAAATATGTCTTCCTCTTCCAGCTCCTCCTCCTCAGCCTCACTATCATCAAGCAATGCCCTCTCCAATGCTTGTAGTTTTAAACTCATTAGACCATCATTGTCACGGGAATCGAGGCTTCCGTTCTCCATCAAATCTGATCCAAAGTTGGACTGATAACCATCATGATGCATTGCAGACATGAAAGAACAATCAAATGGGTTATTGGCAACCATAGAAGCTTCTGAACTGGCTCTGAGCTGGTTAGAATAGGCTACATCAGGGGGAATTGAACTTCCAGAGATGCTGGAACTAGATGGTTCTATCAATTCTTCTGTTTGTGAGTCATGGAAGTACTTCTCATAACTCTCGCTGGAATAAGAATCAGGACCAAAAATTTGGGAGGACAAGCCTGGTCTAACATCAGTTCCCTTTAGTGAGAAGAGCTTGGCATTTTTGTACGATGTGGGAGCTAGATCAGCAGACCTAACTAATGACATGTTTCGCCTGTTCTATAACTCACCAGAATTTTAGGCTGTATAAAACACATGACTAATTAGCGAGTAAAATTCTCTAAAATCTATAATAATTAATAAGTTATAAATATATGTTTTCCTTTCCCACCTGAGAAATAGTACAGCAGGCAGAGTTTCTCAGTGATGTAATCTTGTTGAACCTTCTAGGATAACTTTTGCCCTTATAGGAGAAACAAAAGGATGAGAAAAAAAACTTGGGCGAACTTTTCAGGTAGAACTATTAATCTACGAGAACATGAGAAAAAAAAATAAAAATACTAGATACACGTATACTAGTGTGTTTTGTGGCCTCAGTTAACAGATAAATATAGTAAACCATCATAAATCAGTTGGTTGATGATTCATCATGTTCAAATTCACACAAGTTTTTCTCATCTATAAAATTGACCTAATCATATTCAGCCGTGCCAATGGAAAGAGGATTCGGCGGACCAACCACCATGGTTGAAATTAAGTACTGAATATGATCCAGCTTGGTCAATCACGAGAATGAACTTCAAACATTTTTTTTTTCTTAAAAACAAAATTTAGTTACTGGACTCAGTCAAACATGGGTTGAAATGGCAGCTAAAATTCCTCCTTAGCATAGCAACAGATCATTATGGCTGCCATAGTGGCCTCCTCTGTTATCTGTATTTGGAAAATTAAAATAAATATTCATTTAATCTATGATCTTCTCTATTTGAAGTCTGCAGATTCTAGAATCCAATCCACATAAAAATAAAATAAAAACAAAAAAACTCACTCTTGAAATCTATTCAAAGGCTCAGTAAACAAAAAAAGAAAAAAGCAAAAATTGTTTGAAGATTCATCGCATATTCAAATTGAAGAGATATGTCATTTGCTCTTATTAGGTTGCAAACCATTTGCCCCTCAAACGTGATATATTAACTCTAGCAAAAAATCAGATTGAAATGAAATTTCTACTGCAAATACTGATTAAGATGTTAATTATTAAGAGACTCGTAAAATAACTAGGCTTAAAATCAATTTGGATAGAAGCGATAACCATGCACAAAACTCTTTCCATAGCATATATATCTTTAATTTGTCTTTAGCTGGGAGAATCTCCGGCCTCAAAATCCACTGTGAGGAAACATCATATTTTGCAAGACAAAAACAATTGTCCCAACCAAAAGCCAATTCTTGTTTGAAATTTTAGCCAATATATGAGCAGATAGCTCAAGTGACAGTAACAGAAAGGCTTAAAAGAACCCTTTGGGACCAGAGGTATATATACAAGGAAAAGTTAAAAACTTCCTCAGAAGATTGAAATTTAACAAACATAGTTTAAGAAAAATAACTAAATCCATATTTTTTCATTTTTTTTCCAATCACATGCGTGCATCATACTATAACATGTATCATCTGCTGCAGATTGACATTCAGTTTACTAGGACTGCAAGGGTAGTACCATACATCAGAAGGGGCAAAAGTTACAATATTTAAAACATATCTAGTTTTGTAGATAGAAATTAAGATGAATCAAGAAAAGGAGGTAGTGTACCTGTGGATTTAGAAACTAAGAAGAAGCACACAGACCATAGAAGTCTTTCTACCCTGCCATTTTGTACACAGAAAGATGAATATGAATCTCAGAATTGTGTTTAGAGGAGAAGAGAGGTTAGCATAGGTCTTTGACTAGTGCCATAGAGATATAGCCGAGCCAAATAGCAATAAAAAGACCGTTTGACAGTTTTCTAAATAAGAAAGTTGGTAGATTAAGAGTTCAGGTTGGTAGAATAGCAACATATAAGACAAATGGCAATATTATATTAACAAGAGGGAACTTTGAGTACCTATATATACTGCTAATTAACTGTTTAGAAATGAAGAAAACAACCTTTGAATCTCATAATGATTGGACCAAAATTTGGAAGTCCGTTAAGAGGAATTCATCAACCTTAATAGAAAAACAGTGGAAGTTACATTCCATATTTCTTTGAGGATACGTTTAAATTATATTAAAATTATTCTAATCTTTTTCTTGAAAAAAATCTTCTCTGTTGAAAGATAAAAACTATTAAAATCGCTTAATAAGGAGTATTTTTCATTTTGGTAATTTTTACTGTCATTCGTTATTGATCTTCGTGATTAATTATAGACTTTAAAAACGAAACAAAGTTTAATAACACATACTCCATTTGGGACTTCATCTAAACGTTTTATTTTGTTTCCGAAAGTTATAATAGAGATAGTAAGGCAAACGAAAGTCTTGGAGAAAGAAAAATTAGTCATATTCATTCACACACTACTTCACTTGTTACCGCTACACTGTTACAGTGTAAAGATGTATACTTTTATTTTTATCTCTTTTCTTATAATATTATATTATTTATCATATTTTTATTTCTGTGTCTCCAAAATATAGTAAATTTCTTTTATATTAAATATTTGACAAGTCTCTTTATGAACAGGACTTTGATTTGTAATTTACTTTAAAAAAAGCTGAGCTTCTGGAATTGGCAAGTGGGAAGCAAGTGGAAAACTGATGAAAGACTTTAAAATTTAACTGGGACTGGATGCATTTAGCAGAATATTGCTTCTCCTTTACCCCTACGTTTCTTTCATTCTAAATATGTTTTCTCTTTAATGTTAATACTCACTTCAAATGTTAATATATATAAAATATAGATAAATTCCCTTTATGTGCTCTTGCTTCTAATTTATCTTTCCTGAACCCTTTGAATTTTTACAACTGCATTGAATTTAATCCACTGTGGGGTGCATATTGACGTAGGGTATGACGTCATACAACGTCACTGTTATTTTTGTAGGCGTGGAATGTTGCAACTTTGAAATTGATGAGTGCGAAAGATTTGTACTTGTTGACAGAGTCAGAGTTTCGCACAGCAAAATCTGACGTTGGATTTGCTTAAAATACTTTCTTCATAAGAGAATTTTTTTTCCTTTTTCTTGTTTCTTTTATTAAATCTAATATGTGTGAGCATTACTGTATAATCCATAATCCATAAATTATGTGTTATATATATAAATGTTAAAAATTACATAAAAATGAAAAAATATATAAAAAATCATGAAAGGACAAACTAAAAGTATTATGAAATTTAACTAAATCAAAATTCAAATAATCTAAAAAGGAAAATCATTTTAAGTAATTTAAAATTAACTATACAAATGCTTAATATATATACTATGTGACACAATAGAAGCTAACAGACCATATTATAGTCATTTTCTGTCTTATTTTATTGTACTTCTTAATCATTAAAGAAACCACTTGTTCTTTTTCAATAGCAGGAATGAGGGATGAAACAGCATTTCAACAAAGGTGAAAGGAACATGTCGACATTGCTCTATGTTGTATAAACCCTACTTATTAATATAATCATATTTTAGTTGTTTCGTGGTAATTGTGAAAAAAAAAACATATTTTAATGATGTAATAAGATTCTTTCTGGCAGAAGCCATATTAAAATTTTTTTAAAGAAACATTACCTTTTATGGGGTGGTTTGGTTTCCTTTTTAAAATAATTATATGAAATTGTTTTAGTTGAACTTGCAATTCGAATTTTAAGTGTATAACTAAATAAGATATTTTTTATTTATGCTAAATTTGTAAAAAATGATTTCAAAACAATAACAGAAAAAGTTATGCATGCAGTAGTTTTGTAACCTCTTGTGGTATGAAAGGAATCAAATGAGTGATGAATGAGAAGTTACTAATAATTAACAGGAATGATCATAGAGTTGAAATTGAAGAATGGGCCCAACGAGTAACACCCACTACCTTTACTTTTATAATATAAAGTCCTAATCTTTCGGCCCCACCTTATCCAAATAAACCAAATCAGGGGACTTGGATAGTGGGACAAGCAAATAACAATAACTTACTAAAATTCAAAATCCATTCTTTATTTTTATCTCTCCATCATCATTATTTATTACACTCTCCACACACCATGACGTATTTTTTTTTTTCATCTTAAAACGATTAATGTAATGTGTTTAAGGAGAGCGTTTCTGATTTATTTGGTTAGGCCAGGTTGATGATTGAATTTTTTATCAATAATTTTGCTATTTTCAGTATTTTTACATATTTCCATTTTATAAGCATAGAGAATTTGAGCATAGTATTAATCATATTTATAATAATAATAAAAACTTCAAAATCATATTCTTCGTCAAAATTCAAGATTTGGGCTTGGGAAAGTTATTAGTATACAAGATCTATTTATTATAGATAATTTTGGTTTTTATTGTAAAGTAATTTTTTTTATCATATTATATTTTGTAATATAATAATTATTTTGATAAAATCTTTAATTATAATTTAATACTTTTGATTATAATAAAGATTATGATAATGATAAATAAATTTTTATAATTATAATCTAAATCGTTTTTATTATAGAATTATTATAAATAGAATACTAATAATTCATAAATATTAATATATATGTGATATAATATATAATAATAAATTTTATTTATTAATATATATATATATATATATATATATATATAAATGATAGATATTAGGATGTAATAATTTAAATAAAGTTTCTTAATAACCTTAATATGTCAATGAAAAGTTCTTATGTAGAAAATAAAATATTTTCTTTGTTTTTGAGAATATCATAAATGAATATTATATATAATTTAATATTTGTGAGATTGTTAATTATTAAAAAAATATTCTTCCACTTCTGATACACAGGTTTGAACCTTATAATAAAATTAAAGTCTTGGACATGATGAATTGAACTATGGATGAAACGAGTTTTTCTTAAATTATTTTTATTAATTAACTTTTTAAGAATTTAACGATTGTACCATATTCTATAGTTAATTTAGATAATTGAACTATGAATATAACTAGATGTCTATCTTTATTGATATACTACAAAATTAATATTGAACCTATATAGTCATACACAAATTAATATTTTTTTCTTTATTAAAGAAATGAAATGAAATTATTAAATTAGATAATTTAATGT